ACCTAACCCTTAACTGTACCCCACAATATCAAAATAAAAAATATTGATAATAATAAAAAAGAAAATTAAGAAACATCCTACCAAAATCTCTGGGGTGACATGATAATAGTACTAAGAAGGGAATGGAAAGATCACAATTTAAAAATGGAAAGATCATAATTTAAAAGTCTAACAAATCACCTAAGAGAGCTGGTAAGACAAGACCACCAAAACCCTAAATTTAGCAAAAGAATCCAAATCACCAAAGTAAAAGCCCAAAGAAAGGACATAGAAGACAAAAATATCAAGGAAAAAAATCAATAAACAAAAAGTTGTTTTTTTGAAAGAATAAAAAAGACTGATGGACCTCTACCCAGAATGACCAAGAAAAAGAGAGGAAGAGTCCAAATAAACACAATCAGAAATGCAAAAAATCAAATAAAAACTGACCCAAATAAATACAAAAGATTGTCAGAGATTACTATGCAAACCTGTATGAAGACAAATTTGATAACCTAAATGAAATGAAAAACTTTTTAACATTACACAATCTCCCCAGGTTGAAACTAAGAAGCTATTGAGACACAAAATAGACCAATAACTCAGGAAATTGACCCCATCATAAGAAAACTACCTACAAAAAAAGCACTGGACCAGATGGCTTTCCTGTGTAGTTCTATACACCATACAAGGAGGAGTTGATATCAATCCTATTGAAAGTATTGCAGGCAATTGAGAAAGACAGAATTCTCCCCAAATCATTTTACAAGGCTAACATCACACTAATGCCCAAACTGGGTAAAGATCCAACAACATAAAAAAGAGAACTAAAGGCCAATATCCCTAATGAACATAGATGCAAAAATTTGCAACAAGATGCTAGCAAATTAGATCCAACAACACATTTCAAAAATCATCCACCTAGTAGGCTTCATCCCCAAGATGCAGGGCTGGTTCAACATCTGCAAGACCATAAATGTAATTACATCCATAGATGCAAAAACAAGAACCATGTGATTATACAGTTAGATGCAGAAAAGCTTTTGATAAAATCCAACATTCCTTCTAGATAAAAATCCTCAAGCACCTGGGCATGGAAGGAACATACCTCAAAATAGTAAGCATCATCTATGATAAACCCACAGCCAGTGTATTGCTAAATGGACCAAAATTGGAAACATTTCCCTTGAAAACTGAAATGAGAATAGGCTGCCCACCCTCACCCCTCTCATTCAACATTGTGTTGGAAGTCCTAGTAGAGCAATTAGAGGAGAAAAACTGGGCAAAATTAGAGAAATTAGAGAAGAAAAACTGGGCAAAAGGAAGTTAAGTTATCCCTCTTTGCTGATGATATGATCCTATACCTCGAAAACCCAAGAGAATCTATCAAAAACCTGCTCTCACTGAAAAAGGACTTTGCCAAAGTTTTTGGGTACAAAATAAATGTTCAAAAGACAGTTGCATTCTTATAAACCACCAACAGCCAGGCAGAGAACCAAATAAAAAGCACAATCCCATTCACAATAGCCATAAAAAAGAAAAAGAAATACTACACCATCTTCCTAACCAGAGAAGTGAAAAACCTTTACAATGAAAACTACAAAACACTGCTCAACGATATTCAAGAAGACACAAACAAATGGAAAAATATTCTGTGCTCAAGGAAAGGAAGAATCAACAGTGTTAAAATGTCCATCCTACCAAAGGCAATCTACAGATTTTATGTAATACCCATCAAATTACCAACATCATTCTTCTCAGACATAGAAATGACAATACAGAAATTAATATGGAAACATAAATGACCATGGATAGTCAAAACAATCCTGAGCAAAAGATATGAAGCGGGAGGTATCACACTCCCAGACTTTAAACTTTATTATAAGACCGCAATAATCAAAACAGCCTGGTATTGGTACAAGATTAGACATATGGACCAAGGGGAAAGGATAAAGATTCCAGAAGGAAACGTCAGTTTCTCAACCCACTCATATTCTACAAACAACTGGAGAGAGGAGAATCTATTCAGTAAATGGTACTGGGAAAACTGACTGACCATATGCAGAGGATTGAAACAGGATCCCTACTTATCACCATACACAAAAATCAACTCTAAATGGATCAAAGACCTAAACTTAAAACCTCAAATTATAAGACCCTTAGATAATGCAGGGGACATCTTTATAGAAATTGGAATTGGCAGCCAGTTCCTGATCAAAACCCCAAGTGCCCATGCCATAAGAGATAAGATAGACAAGTGGAACCTCATCAAACTGAAAAGCTTCTGCACCGCCAAAGAAACCAAAAAAAGAGCAGAGAGACAGTCCACAGAATGGGAAAAAATATTTCCGAACAGTATATCTGACAAAGGCCAGGATCTACAAGGAACTCAAACATGCCGAAAGGAAAAAAATCAAACAGCCCCATTAAAAAGTGGGCAAAGGATATGAATAGACACTTCCCAAAAGAAGATAAACAGTTAACCAACAGACACATGAAAAAGTGCTCAGTCTCACTCATCATCAGAGAAATGCAAATCAAAACGACATTGAGATACCACCTAACCCCAGTAAGAATGGCCGTCATTAATAAAACAAACAATAGATGCTGGTGAGGATGCGGAGAAAAGGAACGCTTCTACACTGCTGGTGGGAATGCAAACTAGTGCAGCCTCTTTGGAAAACAGTGTGGCAATTTCTAAAAGAGCTAGTCATTACCCTTCCATATTACCTAACAATTCCCCTGCTGGGAATATACCCAAAGGAATTCAAATCATTCTACAAAAAAGATATCTGCACATGCATATTTATTGCAGCACTATTCACAATAGCAAAAACATGAAACCAACTATGCTGTCCATCACAACTGGAGTGGATACAAAAATGTGGTACGTATACACAATGGAATATTACACAGTCATAAAGAAGGGCAAATATGAACTTCATAGCAACTTAGGTGGATTCAATGTCTATCATAGTCAGTGATCTATCACAGAAACGAAAAACAGAGTACCCCATGTTCTCACTTATTAGAGAATTTTGAACATTTACCATGGTACTATAGGAAAGGGATTGGCAGTAGTAGCAGGGTACTGTCGGGGTCTGA